TTATATATATATATATATATATATATATATCATAAAATAATATATATATATATATAATATATATAAATAAAAGAATGAAAGGTATATATATATATATATATATAAAAGATGAAAGGTTAAAAAACTTTTATATATTTTTTTATAATTTTTTTTTCAATAGAGTGCGATTTATAATTACAAATCTTTCAGGATATTCTCTCGCGGCTTATGAGCTAATGAGCATGTCAAGTTATATATAATTAATATTGTTACACGCGATTGCAATTGATATCATTAAATGATAATTTTACGCATCGCGGGATATCTATCATTCGTGAAATTATGAATTTTTTTCATCAATTCAGCTCGGCACCTTGCAGCGCTCATCGATCGCTCGCATGCAGCAAAAATATTATCGTTTAAGAACTAACGGTCGCCGGTAAATACGACACAAACCTGGGAGTACCGGGTATGTTACGCCATATATGATACGTGTAACGCGAAAATTAATGTATTACGTATTTCACAACCACAATCTCATCCTTCTTAAAATTCACAAAAATATGCAAAATAATACGTGCGTAATATCCTCCCCGTATGTCTAATACGTGTGATATTTTAACATGTAATTAAAATAGTTAAACTATCTTGAAAATTTTTATGTCACGCACTTGACACTTGATCGCGTAAAACAAGGATCATGCATTTAACCATAACATCTTTGCACGTTATTTCTTTGAAATAATTAGACATTGCTTATACGCGCAAGGAATATCTCGAGAAAAAGTGATTAGATTCTAATAAGATTCTGTGACTAATTTAGTAGTAGTCGTTAATGGACATTCCGTTTAGATAAAACTTTAATTAAATGGAGTAGCAAATATTGTAAAACATATGTGCTTAGCATTTCATTTAAATTCAGTGAAATTCTATATCTAAGGCCGATAAGAAGGACTATCGGCCTTACTATATCTTCTCGAAAGGACTATGAACGTTCATTCGTGAATAAATTAGAGAATTTGTTAGTATAATCAACTCACGTCAAAATCAGGAAAGAAATTGATTTGCGCGGCTACCTTCATTTGAATATAAAATACCTAAGTAGCCAGTTTAGAATAAATATTAAAATACATGAAGAAGTTTATTATTTGCAACATCTTTTAGTTGCTTTACATTCAAAATTATGTCACAATTGTTTTGAAATTGATTGATTTTGAATTAACATTATAACATATAATTTCACAATAAAAATTTGTGTGTAAAAAATTAAAAAAAAGTAACAGAATTGAATATTTCAATTTTGAATTGGATACCACAAGAAGAATGTATAATTTTAAAAATTAATAAGAGTAAACTTCTGCTTGTCTCATCATAATTTTTATCAAATTTTTACTAAATGACTTATACAAAATTTTTTTCCTTTCTATCTCTTTTAAAAGAAATATTTACCATAGAAATTATTTAAAAATATCCTTTATACTACTATCTATCTATCTAATATACTAACTTAATATACTAACTATTTCGCAAATCTCCTTTTCTCTTTCTTATTCTTATGCAGATATAAATCAGCGATATTTCCTTTGTAATCATCATATAACACGTGCGTTATATATAAGGGACGCGTTTCGTGACATATCTTTCTTTAATATCTTTGATATCAAAGAAACTATCAAAAATGTGAACTGTTTGTACCATCGCTGTGACTTATCTCTTTCTTAATATGATAAAATTTTGGACATTTATATGTGACATCGACGACGGTTGCACGCATATAACTGTATCGTGATACTGTGTACGCAATATCGACGAAACCGCAGATATAATATTGGCACTTTTTTAAACATGTATATGGATCAGCTAAAAATCCTTTGTAAAAACATATAAAAACACAAAATAAATATGAAATTAATTCATAAAGTAATCAATATAATTTTAAATTCACATTTGAAAGAATGTGATATTTTTATCGATGCCAATTTTAATTATTTAAGTAAGTTAAATTTTTAAATGTTATTAATAATCATTATTAATAATCATTATTTTTATACTTATATTTATAATATTTTTTTTCTACTGTACAATATTAATTAATATAATGATAATTAAGTGATAGTTTTTAAATAATGTTTGTTCAAAGTAATACCTCTACTATCGTCCAAAATTTAAGAAAAAACTTAAACATTGATTCGATCACAGAAAATACATTTTGAAATTATAATATTGATAAATATGTATGTATGTAATTAATATGTACATAATTTACATTGATTATCATGTGATTATAGCGATTGATATTCAATTTTGCAATCTCCATTTGCAAATTTATAGATAAAGATCAATATCACGAATCAGTTGTATTCTTGATCGAATTAGTTTCTTATCGCATTATTATTTGTTAAGACAATAATAAACAAAATTTTAATAATTCGATCTATGTACATTTCATTATTAATATATAGTCATTTATATATTAATATATTATTACATTTATATATTTAATATATTATTACATTTATATATTTAATATATTATTACATTATTATATTATTATAATATATATTATATTAATATATAATTATTATATTATTAAAATACGCTAATCTGTATAATTTTTATATATCTAATTTAAAATGATTCGAAAAAATTTTGTAAAATATTGATCTATAAATTTGCAAATGGAGATTGCAAAATCGAATATCAATCGCTATAATCACATGATATAATCAATGTACATTATGTGCATATTATATATCTAATTTATATTCATCTATAATAATCATATAAATTTTATTTATATTTATATAAATAAATAAATAAATTAAGAGATATAAATTTATCTATTTGGGTCAGACGAATAAGTCAACTTAATGGTTAAATTATAATTAACTGTAAGATAAAATATATAAATTATTAATATAAATTATATAAATTATTAATATAAATTATAAAAATTACTAATATATTAAATATTATAATTAACAAGATTTTTTTCGAATCATTTTAATTTTCGAAATCATTTCTTTCTAATAATAATTGCGTGTTGTTGTCTGTTTGAATTGGACTATCGGTATAGGCTACGTTGAAACAAAAGATAAAAGAGAAATAGTTTAAGATAATTCTCTGTCAATCAATGGAAAGACAATCACGATCAAGTCACCGTGATTACAAAATCATGAAAGGAGTAATTTTGTGTCAAATCTGAATGTACGTGTATCGTGAATTTTGATAAACACTTTGTTGCTTTGCCATTAAAGAGCATAAAATGAATCATATAATGGATTATCTGTGAGTGAACATATTTGAAATATTGTATTTTTCAATTTTTTTTTTATTATATTTGATTTCGAATTATTAATAAATTGATCTACAGATTTATTTGTTTAGAATCTCATTGTCACACGTAATTATTTACACGGTAAATCGTGCAAATCCCTCTGGGGTAACGAGGTAAACTTGGTATTACAGAAATAAGAAGTAAGAAAAACAAACCTCGTAGAATATCCACATGGAGAAGAGGGTCTGTAGGGAATTATACATTATGAGGAATCCCCGAAGATCGAAAGGCTTTCTGTTTTCCATCAGCTTCGGTCCCAGAATCTTGCTAAAGTAAGCGTACGACAGGCATATCGCCAGAGTCGGGAAGGGGCTGCTCATCATCGCCCAATCCTTCACTCTGGGATCTGAAAACAAACAAAGAGAAGGTTAAAGTTAGAAAAAGCAAAATACAATTATAGACGAGAAGAAGCCGCGGAAAGTCTGCCGTGTGAAGCCATTTAAAAGAAGGAAGCAGAGTAGATTTGGAAGAGGAAAAGAGGGGAGGGTGGAAAAACAAAGCGAAATTCCATTCTCGCATTTCACAAACGTACGTCACATATACACATTGGAAAGTGGAACATTCGAGGACGATTTAAAAGTCGTCTTCGCATTATGCAATATGTTCTCGTGCGACGCACACCTGTAACGGGGTCAAAATTCGTAACTGGCGACAGGAAGTACCGTTGCGGGCAAGAATCTGTTACGACATTGCCGACAAGTCCGCGTGCTCGTATTTGCCCGATGTCGCAATTGCAATCGCGATGTCGACCGCGATGAAAATTCAGCGGAAGATCGCCTTCGTCGAACGTCGCGTGATCGGACGTCGTTCGCGGTCTCCCGCGTTTTTCGCGTTTCTAGAATTAACAGGAGGATTTTTTAGAATAGCGCGCCTAAAAGAGGAAACGTTATCCCGACGATTATGAGGCGGTAACACGTTCGGTCTTCCGAGCACCCTAGAAAACGCCATCGCCATTTTTCCATCCACCCTCGACGAGGAGGAAGCAGAAAAAGGCGCGAGTGCGTGCACGAGGCGCGAATGACCGAGCAGTCATTCTTCCGCTGAATTACCTTCGCACTCGTGCGACCCGACGGATATGAGACCGATACATGGATTTTTTTTTTCTTCTCTCTCTCTCTCTCCTCTCTTTCTGTCTCTTACTTTTTCAACATTCTCAGCGAAACGCTTGGATTCTTGGTCAACACACAATTGATCGACGAACTCGATTACTCGAGCCGACGATGCGGCATACAGCTTGTCAATATTACATGTTACGCTTTATAACGCTTCCGTTTTAATCATTCACGCCATTGTTAATTACCAAGCCAATTTGAGCTCGGCGTTTAGCTTGCGGCTGCGAGCGTAACGACGGTGTCTTAGGACACTCGGGTCACCCCGGATCGGATCTTAACGTAAAAGATTTACGTTGATATCGACATGGAAGGATATCGCGGGACATCACCGGAGTTTTGTTTTAATCGATGAGAAAAGAGCGATGTCCCAATAACAAGCGCATGCCGGTTGGTATTGGAAAGGAAAGTGGGTGCAAGCAGGCGGGATATACGAGACACGCAATCGTAATGACAAAGCGTAGCGCTAGGCGACGGTGAATATTGCATCGAATTTCGTCTATCTGTGCACTCGGCCGTTACGTAATACTTTTGCGAGGACTTTGACGAAATCAACAATGCGGCAAAAGGGCGGCCCGTCGTCGCAACGACCGAATAACGGAAGGCGCCTCCGCGTCTCTGTGTGGTACGGCCTACGATTAGCGGAAAATACGAGCCGGTACCCCGACGTCGACGCCGCTTCGTCGGAGCTACGTCTGTTTTCCGCGTGACACGAAAAGCCCTCTCTCCCTTCCGCGTTAACCGAAGGGAAAGGAAAAAAAAAAAAAAAAAAATAATCAGTCGCGGACACTGGCGGATTGCTGCTCTCATCGATTTTAAGACGCCGCGGCGAAACGTCAGACTGTGCAATTTTCTTCCTCTCGTCACGCCCCAATTAAGATAACGCCGATTTTACCCCCATCAACGCCGTATTGACGCCGTACTCACGAACGTCCGTTATTTATGTTAATGCCCTTAGTTCTCCGGAACAGGCGTGCAATACGCGTGTAATCGACGACAAAAATTCGGCGTTGATCTCCTTCCATCTGATAATAAATGCAGAATTAATGGATCCGTCGTCAAAAGTGACTTTCTATCTATCGCGCTTTCGGCCACGTAATATCTCACTTTTACTTTCTATAATATCTTTCATAAAAATTTAGAAAATTAAACAGATGTCCGAAATAATCATGAATATACATTTCGATAACTTTTATCGTCTACTTCTTTATGGATCTTTTAATTCTGGTCAACTCTCGAATAAATTTGTTCTTTTTCGAAACGTGGGACGACCGAGAGGTTTTAAATTAAACCTGATTGAAAATAGATCCTCTTCGGACGTTAAAGAGGCAAGAGGATAGTAAGATCTTATTAAATGGGAGTTCGTGCTCGCTCTCGTACCGCCACGCGGAAGTCGCGAAAGATATCGGAACAGGAATCACGGCTGAATGGCGCGCGTGTATGGAAAACGGGGATCAAGGATTCCGAATGGTTCTCGGAGAAATTAGAAACGGAACGCTTGCCCCGGCATTACGACACGATATTGACTCGCCGGAAGATTCCGAAGGAGGGATATTCTCGTCGCCGTGAAAATACGCGCGGTAAACAGACTCTCGGAATCGTTGAAATTTCGGTTGTAATACGCGCGGGATTTCCGACGAGAAGCACCACGTCGCGGTTCTCTCGACCTCGTCTCTTGAATAAATTTGCACGGCTTCTCTCTCGTACGATCACCCGAACCCGGTGAAAACACCCGCGAGCACGGAGACGCGATCCCCCCCCTCCCCCGCCTCCTCTCTCTCCCGTCAACATTGTGAACGTATTATGTCATTTAATTAAACATTCAATAGCGAACTCTTTAATGGGCCATATTACGTAAAAATCTCCAACGGTCTTCACGTTATTTCTCATTAACATATTTATAATATAAAATTACGTAACAACAGAAGAAAAGAACGACTCGCGTAATACGCTCATCTACAGGATTACATTAATCCACATGGGCTATTGCGTCAATGTAAAACGTATTACGGATTATTTTCAATCTCATGAATTTACCAAGTCCCGCAAAAGTGGAACGAACAATTTTTATCGCCGTCCGATTCTATAACTCAAAAAGCTTTTAGTATGCTTCCTTATTGCCGAGATTAGAATTCAATGCGTCAATGGTTACATTATTGCGATCGTCATTCAAGAGAGTAAAGAGATTCGACAAAATGTTAGCTTCGAGCATACTCAAATGGTCATTAAAGATTTTCTTATGTACACCTTTAATGCATCAAGATGATATATAAGTTCTGTCAATGCTCTTCCGAAATATTATTCCGAAATATATATTATAATATATCCGGTTATTCTTCCGCTGCGGTGATTTTTCTCTCTTAATAATTTAGAAGCGCCGCGCGAAATATATTCAGAGAGAGAAAAAGAGAGAGCTAAGAATATCATATCCGAGACATCTTAGGAAAAATATAATTTAAATTCAAATATCACGACATTACGCGCACTTAATTAATAATAACATATTAATTATAAATTGAATTATTTTTACGCTAAATGATAAACGTTATCATTTAAATAAGTAGTAAATAAATCAAATCGTGCTGAATTAAATTACGAGTGAAACAATTAATTTTTATTACGATCACGTAATTTTCGATTTTCGTTTGTCTGGGATAGAGAATTTTGGAACAGTAAAACTAAACGAGTTTTGGGATAATAACGTGTGTTCGTGATCCTCTCTTTTCATGACGTACATGGAAGGAACGATTTTCGGAAATAACGTGTATTCATGATCCTCTATTTTTATGACGTACATGGAAAGAATAGTTTTGCTGAAGTACCTAAAAATTTTGCTAAATATAGAGATTTGAAAATAATTTTGTCAGATCATCAAAATAATTATGTATGCGGTGATTATATCGCAATTTTTTTCAGCTTTTATATTTTAATAATAAATTTGAATATCTTGTATATATGTAAATATATACAAGATATTC